AAGTGTTTCTGAATGAGATTAGCATTTGACTTTATGGACTCCACAGAGTAGATTGTTCTGTTCAATTTGGGTGGGCAGCATCCAATCCATTGACAGCCTGAATAGAACAACAGGCAGAAGAAAGATATTTTGTGGCTGGTCTAAAGGTTCCTTTGTCCAAATAAAACTGCATCATCTTTTTAAATATATTATTATTATTTAAAATATGTAAAATTAAGACTATCTTTTTAATATATTGTAGCCTTTTGTCCAAGCAGGCTAGAATGTAACCTCTTTCAATATAAAAATACTTTTTACAGTAACAGATTATAGCTAAATTCCCTACAGCCCTCTTATGATTCACTAAGTGGATTTTTTCTAATTCATTTCCTATTACTTGTATTGCGGTTAGGAACTGACTAACTCTGTATTCCAGTTACACAGATTTGTGATCTTTGATACCTAACTTCTAAGCCACCTTTTCCTCATCTGTAAAACAGGAACAATTGCATAGGTTGTCCCACAGGGCTATGGTGAATTTACACAATGTATTTCATGTAAAGCATCTGTCAGTTTCTAGCACATTAGCATTTTGACAATGTTACATGAATAAGGTAAAGCTAACAGAACATTTTTCTGATTATATGGCTCCTTCTGGATTTAGTATAATTAGAATCTTTATTAAACACAGAAAATGTCTTATATTCTTGATAATTCAATGATAAAAATTAAGGAGGAGAAGCTCGAAATTTTGGACCATGAACATGGAAGAAATCAGATAGGTACCTGAAGGATATACACAGTTCATGACTTTTGATTGTCATATACTGCCAAATAGAAAATGTCATTTTGTTTAAATTGTTAAAGTGATGAGGCAAACAGGGAAATAATGTTGTCATTGTTATTTTAATGCTGAGTGAATGAGTAGTTATAAAAGATTAATAGACTTATTTGAGTTAAGTAAATGGAGGGGCTTGATTCAGATCCTGGATGCAGGACTCTGCAGGCCACTTTCTTAAACTTTGCACGTGGAGCATCATCAGGGGAAATGGCTACTCAGGAGGAACCACGGGAAGTGTTCACAGAGCTCTGAGTAACAGAGAGGGCAGCCATGCTGTAAACCATGTATGGTATCAAAAAATGTGGTTTTATTCAAACATTTTTTTACAAGTGTAATAGTTCATAGGAAGGAGTCATTAATTTCTTAAGGTTTATTATTTAATGATTACTAGTTTGAAAAAAGTATTTATTTTGAAAAGAAAAGGGAAGTTTTGGAATGGGCTACGCAGTTGTTGATAATATATGTCAAAAAATGGCAACATGGGCTACGTAAGTTATTTGTAACATATCAAATATGGGAATTTCCATCATTTGAGCCTATGAAAAATAAAAAATTATTAATAGAATTTGGTATAAAATTCAAATTATCCTGACAAAATTATGTCTCATATGTATGAGGCACAGTCAATAAATGGGGATTCTCAGCTATTGAACTTTGGGCTTCAAGTTATAGTACAACTTACAAAAAACACCAGGAAATAGCCAAAGCAATTTCTGAAAAGTATTTAGTAAGCACATAGCTGGTGCCAGTGTAAGCCAGGTCTATTCCAGGGAACAGTATGGTGGACATGGGGCTGTCTGGCCATGACTCTGGCACTTGCTGGTTCAAATTCCAGGCTTGAGAACTCTATAACTGCTTTTCTTTTTAGCAGCTGAGGATCAAGTGTTCCATGGAGACTGAAAATTGACAACCACTCAGATTATAACATTGATACATAAGATTATAATTTTTCTCAGGAATCCAGAGTCACTAAAGTCAATTCTGGTTGAATGTAACATTTGCAGGGGCTTTGACAAGAATTCAGAGATTTATTTGTCTGTATCCATCCTCTTAGAAAATATAACAGACTTTTTAAAATAAAAATTCTTCTTTAGTATTGACATACATGCAAGTTTATTAATGGTTAGATCATTTCTCAAGATTTTCAAATCACAGAAAAGTGATAATGCTTAAAGAAAGTGTGTGTACTGAATTTCTACAAACTGTCTATTTCTAGTATATATCAAATTTGTACATATTACAAGATATGGAACATAAGATGTGGAACAAGATATTTCTGCTCCCTTATTGCAGTAATGGTGTTAATTCACTGCTAAGACTTCACATAGTGTGGCTTGAAATGTGTACTAATTCTAATATATTAACTAAGTAACTAACTAACATATTAAGCCCCTATCTGGTTCTAAATACTATGCAAGGTGCTTTCATATCTCTTTATATTAGGTGAGAAACCTAATTACCTGAGGAACCCTGAGGATGTGTGGCAAGAAGAGGTCTGATTTATGATGGTGGTCAAAGGGTACAAACTTCCAGTTATAAGATGAGTAAGTCCTAATCTAATTTATACCATGGTGACTATAGTCAACAGTACTGTGTTGTATACTTGAAAGTTGCTGACAGTTAGATCTTAAATGTTCTCACAACACAGAAACACACACACAAAACTAACCATGTGAGGTGACAGATGTGTTAACTAACCTTATTGTGGTAATCATTTCACAACAGAAACGTATATCAAACCATTACATTATACAGCTTAAACTTACCCAATGTCATATAACAAATTTGTCTCAATAAAGCTGGAAAAATACTATGTATTTAGAAAGTTGAATAAATAAAACTATCATTGTTCTTTAAACCTTGTTTCAGTTGTGTGTGTCAATGTTATGACATATCATGCATTTTTCCCTATGAGTTGCATTTTAAAAGGTTTAAAAGATTCTTTAGAAGAATGTGGGGAAGATGGGTTGGGGAGAGGAGAATATTGGACATAGGGAATCTAACTGAAACCACCGTTAACAGTCCAGAAGAGAAGGAAGAACTAAAATAAGGAAATGGCAATGAGGATGGAAGAGCCTGACTCCTGGAATACACAAGAAGGAGAAACTTAATTACTATTAGATGCCAAAGGGAAGGGCCAAGGGAAGGATAAGGTGGGTCTCAGATTCCAGCTTGGATGTGTGAGTGACTAAGGACCATCTGCTGAGGAACTAAACAAAAGTAAGGAGAGATTTGGAGGGAAAAATAATAATTTCAGTTTGAACTATACCCATCAGACATCTAAAGGGAATGTGAAGTTAGATAAAGACTTCAAGCTAACCGGGAACTATATTCAATATCTTGTAACAACCTTTAATGAAAAATAATATGGAAATGAATATACGCTTGAGTAGGACATTATGCTGTGCACCAGACTAACACATGAAACTGACAATACTTCAATTAAAAAAAAAAGTCTTCAAGCTAAAGGTATAGGCTGGGGAGTCAGAAGTAGATTATATTATTCAGAGTAAGTATAAGCTAAAAGGTTAAGAGGTCATGTACGATGAATTGGAGAAAAAAGAATCAGCAAAGATTAAAGCTGCCATCAGAAACGTTGAAAAAGAACAAGAGAGAATGTATAAGAAGCCCAGGAAGAGACAACTAGTTTTCTGAATGGGAGTAGTCGCCACCATTAAATGCCCCCAAAATGTCAATATCCTGAAGACAGAAAAGCCTTTATGGTTTTCACAGTTAAGTGACAACTGGCAGCTTTTGTCAGAACAATTTCAGATAAGTATAAGAAACAGAAACACAGTTGTAAGGTAAAGAAGTGAATAGTACGTTATATATACATGCACACAAACACACATATACACACACATGCAGGCTCACACACACACACACACACAACCCGTTATCCTAGTCCTAAGGAAATCCGCTCTAACCCCAGCTTGGTCAAAATGAAAGCTAAAATACAACAACATACTAGTTTTAATAAATTAGGTTTCTAATGGAACAATGTTCTTTAAATCAGTGAGATAAACTGAATGTTCAGATACAGGCAAAGAAAGTTTAATGTTTCTATAATTTCGCACTGATTTTTCTAAACTTCTGCTATGGTGACAGTATAAAGCACTAGTTAAAGAGTATGGGTTTTGGAACCAAATTGCTGGTATTCGATATTCTCTGTCAGAGTACAAGTTATGATACTTTAGACCTGTTATTACTTCTCCACCTCTTTATCTATAAAATGGAGATGATGTTGATAATAGTGCTTTGCTCTTGGAGTTGGTTGTTCTGCAGATTAAATGAGGTAATACATACAAAGTGCTTACGTTTGTGCTTGAGCACTTAGAGCCCTCAATGAATGTTAGTTGTCACAATTTTTCTGAGTTCTCTTGAGAAAAATTCCTAGAAATTATAAAAGAAAGGAAGGGACATTGATGTATTGCTACAGCTTGGTTCATAAAAATTCTGTTGAAACAGAAACTGAACACATGTATGCAATATTTTTCAGGGCTTTTAAATAAATGATGAAAAGCCCAAGTTTTATGCATATATATTTAAAGTGATTCTTGAATTTTTTGAGGGCACTAGTTTTCAGTCCTATATTTGATGGATATACACCGTCTGTTGTGTTAAGTGCATCTTTAATTGAAAAACAGATTATTGTGTTTCATAACATAACCACAATACCTGATACTACCAAATACAGTCCACTGATCTTTGAAGTTCTAACCCTAAAATCAAAGAGCTAAAAGTAGAATCATGCAAAGGGCTTCAATTCCATATTTAACATTTTTAGATTGTTTTCTTAAAATTACAGCACTATCAAAAAACTTTCTAATAGATTATAATCAATACCAACAGGATGCTGAGGAAATAATGTTTTAATTATAGAAATTAAAGGAAAAGATTTTTAAATAAGTGCACGGGGCTACATTATGTGAAGTGATGAGCTTGGAATATACAAAGATACACAACTGTGAAAAGAAACCACAAATAGTTGTATTTGGTAGTCACTCAGCCAAAGTTTCAATGAAACTGTAAATGTCAGTTATTCCCCAATTTCAACACACTGTGATAGTTGATGATTCAACTAATAACTGATCCCAGGGAGAGGCCTTCAAGCCGCAGACTTCTCCATTCCATTCACTTCTGAGTGTATAAATTAGCTGTGATATTCCAGGGTCAGTCACTCCCAATTTGTTATCACAGCATCCAAGAGAAGACACTGACTGGCAAGTCTGAGGTAAGAGAGTTCTTAAATATCATTGATCTTAAATATCAAGATATTTTGTGTACCTTATATATAATCTGTATTATCTAGATAGATAGATATAGATATGTACGCATCCTGTAAGCTGTCCAAATTAAAATTATTGAGATTGGCATGTAATGGTTGCTTGAATTTGTAAACTATAAGTAATTAGACAATCATGTGGGATACACCTATTTATAAAACTTTTTCTTAAAATCACCATCCAGCTATAGTAAGTGCGTATTTTAGAATGACCATGAATAAATCTTCGGCAGGGGAGGGGGGCATGCTGGTAGCACACCAAGACTGTTACAGAGCCTCACGCCCATCAGTTTTAATTTTAAGGGTCTAAGTCAGCAAATAAAGGGAACATGCACTAACCGATATTCTCTAAAGTATGAACAGATGCCAATTTATTTGTAGCCTCTGTGTTATCTTTAAAATTTGCTGTATTTACATTCCATTCTATAACATACCGTGTTGATTTTAAGGTAAAAGTTACTTGTGCTCTCCTATAAATCTTTGAGTGAAGTTGATGCTGCAGGCAGATGCATCTAACTTATTCAGACACTGGGTTTATTCCCCAACATACAGCAATGTATTGCTATGTATGTACCATAGCTTGAGAAGAAAAATAAAAGGTGGTAATTGGTAATTATGCTATGTGCTGACTACAAAATATGACCTGGAAGAGTCCATGATGTGTTTTATTTACCTTTTTGCTTAAAGTGGTTTTAAATAATCCTTGAAACCAGTTTGATATCTCCTATTGTAAATGTTCTGCTTGAATTCTATCCTCTCCAAAACATATCCTTGATTTGTCTCTGTTTTCTTCTTTATCCTCTCAGTATTTTGTAATTTCTATGTATAGTACATTGTAAAAGTATCTGTCTTTCCTTCCTAACTGCCAGAGGACAGAAATTATGCCCCTGACAGCACCTAGCACAATGCTTTGCACTTAGAAGTTAGGCTATATGCGTGTATATATGTGTGTTTATGAGAAGTAGCTGTGTGTTTTGTTGTGTGTGTGTGTGTGTGTGTGTGCCAGTGTGTGCCTGTGTGTAAAACTTTCACTGTTAATTGCTTATACTGCTAGTCTTCCTATAGAATTTTGAACTTGACTTGTCTTATTACAATTATAACATTACCTGGTATTTTCTTTAAATCCCAATTTGAATTTTGATTAATATGACAAAAAGTGAAGACAAAGTTAAAAGCTTGAGTATATTTTTTCTTTCACATTTTATTTTTCTGTCTCATAGATATTTAGAAAACATCAAGAGATGATGAAATCTCCCTAGAATCTTATTAAAATCAACTCCATGCCACCCCATTTTAATAATAATGACATGAGCAACTGACATTTTCCTCAATGTAAAATTAATTAAATAATCTTCGGAAAACATGGTGATGTATCATATAACATTATAACAATGTTATTATTAAGGTCCATGAAAGTAGGGACTTTCTCAGCTGTTATCTATACTCAGTTCCTAGAATGGTGCTTGACAATCAGTGATCAAGAAGTACTTTATGGATAAATAAGTGAATAAATATGAGGGCAACTTGAAGAAAAGTCCCTTAGCCAACCCCCTCTTTCCAATCTGACTGCTCCCCCATATACTCCATAGTGTAAAATGCATGCACACCATGACAAAGAGGAAGACTAACGACTAATGGTACTACCCCACAGGGAAAATTGTCCATTTGTGTTTGAAATCAAGTAATATACACAGGCGTATTGTATTTATGAAAAAATATGGTTTTAAATGCAAGCTTCTATGCTTTATTGTCTACATCTCAATTGTATAATATGATTGTTAGTTATATATTTGATTTAGCTCAGATTTCTCAAGTATTTATTAGCAAATATAACTGATACACTATAACAAAGTGTATCATAAGTCTACAGTAGAAACTAAAGGAGAACAAAATGCTTTGGAAATGTCCTTTCTCATATGTCAAAAATAGATCCCCTCCAAACAGCATGGAATTTGGGGGGCTGCCTGGGAACCAACGCAAATAATCCATCACCTAAATTAATTTCATGGTTATTATTGTATGGAATCTTGTTTTTAAATTCTTGAGATCTCTAAGTAACTTATTCCCACATTAATATTCTCTGTATAAACCAAGGCCATATTTCATTCCAGAAACTACTCTTATTACCATGTTATATTATTCTTAAATAATATGTGGGCATTGTTTTTAAAAGAATCGATGCCACATAGTTATAATATTGCAAAACACCTTTGATGTTACCCAAAAAACAATGCTCTCCAAATAGGTTGATGTCCTAAGATTGTTAAGTAACTTGTCCAAGGTCTAAGAGCTATTAGTAACACAATTTGTACCACAGCTAGATCTTCTGAGTTTGTGTTAACATTTGGTCTTTCTGTTACTCCTAGCATGTCTCTGAATAAGATTAAAGTCCTCCTTGTGATCACAGCCATGTTGGCAGTGACCACTGGTTTCCCGGTGAGTATCCATTTCTACATTCCAGAGTATTTATGGGTGTTCTTGTTGTTGTTCTAATTCATGAATCCTAGGATTTTTCTCCTCTTCACACTGTATTCTACTTTATAAGCATACTTAATATCTGGCTTTTTAATGTTATATTCTATAAAATTTTATAAATTATACACTGTTCAGTGTGTAGCTTAATTCCACATAGCTTTGTGCAGTGGTAAATTTGAGGCATTTAGAGTGAATTTAGAGTAACATTTTTCAGAAAAATAATTCCTACAATATTTTCTGGAAGCTTAAATCCTAGGTTAAAAGAAATATATACTATGAGACAATGTTAGCTAGTGAATAATCAAATTACTTCTCTCCTATATATGTGTATATTTCTCTGTGTTTTATTAGCATGAGTTGAACTAATTTTACTGTTTGAGCTTTAGGTCTCTCAAGGCAAGGAAAGAGAAGAACGAAGTGTAAGTTACACTTTCTCTTTTTATCATGTAAGATTTCCATATGAAATATTCACAACTGTGGTTAAAGATATTTCTTTATCCAAACATCTTGAAATCTAGAGAAATCCTTAGAAAGTTTGAATATTAGACTCAACAGAGGTTTAGCCTTCACGAATTTGATCTCTGCTTGCAGAAAGAGAATTATCTTATCATCTCATGTAACAGTGGGACTAAACTGATTTATCACTCTGTGATGGATTGGGTTATAATATATTTTACTGACATTTTCTAGTCTAATAAAGGTTCATAATTGCTCATGTCTCCACTCACCTTTAACTCTACAAAACCAATTCCAGAGAAGGTAAAATAATGATGATGATGATGATGACGAAGAAGAAGAAGAACAACAACAACTTGAGAATTAGGAAATGTGGACCTGTTCTGATGGTCCCACTGGTGGAAAATTCATTAAAAGCTTATTTTGGTCTAAACAGTTAATCAAAAATGTTTAACAAAAAGAAAATAAAATTTGAAAAGGAAGATTTATGTTTACACTCATAAATCTTATTATCTGGAAAGAAGCATGATTTTGAGACCAAAACTAGCATGTTAAGGATACAGAAATTAAAAGGAATACGGAAGGAAGGTGGAGAGGGAAAGAGGGAAGAAAGAAAAGAGGTAGATGAGACTGTGTCTGAGGTCCTTGGGCAAAGAAGGAGAAACTGATGTCTCCTCTTCAGCACCCTCCCCTTGGCCTTATACTTACAGAACTGATTATCAGGAAAATTTGGCTACGAGTAGAAACGTACAAGCACATGGTTATCTCTAAGTAATTTCCTAAAATTCTCTTTAAAAATGCAAATTAATCAAAGCCTTATTTATAGTATACACAGAAAAGGTAAATGATTTCAGAACTTCTAAAACCTCTACTTAAAAATGAAAACTCACATGTTAATTTGACTTCTTTCTTTCAACAGGCCAGTGACAGTAATGAACTACCTTCGCAGCTCTGTCTGCCGCCTTACCGATATCCATTTGGCACATATCCACCATTCCTATATCCATGGCTTAGCTACTTTTATCCTCCTATTCCAGTACCTGGGTCTGCCCCCACACCTATCCCTCTTAATGAGCAGTAAATAAGAAAAATAAAGTGCAATTTAAGATGAAATAGGTGGTAAGTATATAGAGTACAGCATGTGTTTTCTAACTTTGTTGTTTGTGGATTGAAATGCATCATTTCATGAAAAAAAATGTTATAATGTTTTCACTTGGCACCACTAAGTTACAAATTATTTCAATCTTGTTCTCTGGTAGAAATTGTTAGGATCTCTACTCAGAGGTACAAACACGTGTCCTTCCATGATCCAACCAACACAGCAGCTTAAATCCCTCACTTGCTGTGACGTAATACAAATAAACTCTTTCTTATTAAAATATTTTCTGCAAAATATTTTTTAACATTTTCTACTATCATCAAGGGCTGTGCATTTAAGGGCTGAATCAGAGCACTAAAGAAGGCAAAACTTTAACCAAAGATCGTAACAGATGAACTTGCAGATTTAGAGTCTAAGGTAGACCTCAGCCTATTTCCTAGAAAATCATGCATTTTTCTAATTAATATTAAAACCCTAACTTCTGATGGTCGCATTACAATAAAACCCTAAAGGCTGAATACTCCACTTGTAACAGAGGTCATTATCATCTCATCATCTCAAAAACGAACTGATGGTCTGTCCATTACCAATGAATTGAGGAAATGTAGACTATACTAAAGATTATATTAGGACCCAGAGGACAAAATCTTTCATCTAATACCAACTAGTAAAGACCTGTGCCATCTTTCCTGCAACTACTCAGTCTTCCTGAGCAGAAAGTTTCCCAGTCCTTGAACTAGATATACTTTTGAGGCACCATTTATAATTAAAAAGTAAAAAACTTACGTGTTTGCGAGCAAATGACCCATTGAGATTAATAACTATATGCCTGTGATTTATTTCAGGTCACTGTAAAATTGAACATGAGCCACTTCCTTGAAGAATCAATATTCCTGTTAATAAAAGAAAAATAAATGCAATTGAAATATTATACAGTGTTCTCTCATTAATGTATTTGGCACTCCTCTTTAGTAAACATGACAGAGAAGATCTTGGTTTCCCATTTTCTAAATGTGTGTTGCTGGTAGGAATGCAAAATAAATTTTAACAGATTTGAATATACACTTCCTGTTGACTAACTATTCTAGGGAAAGCATTGGGAGTGGAGGTGACCAAAATCAACCAGTCCTAGAATTACCTTGAATGAAAGTCTATTCAGTAGCTTACGCTTGTACCTCTGCTGCTTGTATTAAGGAGAGCAGATGATGATTTAATTTTAAAAAACCTCCTGAATAATTGAGTCTGAATTACTCAATTATGCAACTGAATCTGTAATTTATATACCATAGGATATTAAGCTTGATGTGTTGGTATAGGATATCAAATCAATCAAGTAATATCTCTAACGTCAGAAAAACAAAAAGGAGATAATGGGTGGAATCCTAAAAACAGCATTTGTATCATGCATATAGGTTATAAAGTGCTTTCTCAAATCATTATATCACAGAACCTCCACACAATCTTGTTACAGTCCTCACATCTCATATGTGGGGAAATTGAAGACCACGAAGTCCTGTGTCCTACACGCTTGTAGATCCAGTATGCAGCAGAAAAGTAAAAACTTGGATCCAAGTCTTATGCCTTATGTTTCAACAGCATATCTAGTAAAATAAATTCTGTTTCCAGGACTCCACAATGACAATGACAACACCAAAGAAAATTCAGACTCATGCTAATAAGGGTAACTTCTACAGCACCTCCTTTGCTAAGCTAGCTGCCATACCACCATTAGAGCTATCTTTGAAAACCTGCAATGACTTACAGTTCTGTCTTGCTCAAATGCCTTGTAAGGCTTCTTTTTGCCTCTAATACAAAGTCCATTTTCCCCCACAAGGCATTCAAGGCCCCTACATACTAAATTCCAACTTCCTTTCAAATCCCCCTCACCCCGCCCCCCACCTCCAGCCCTGCCTCCCGGGCATCCTCCAGGGTCGCACAGGCCACTGCCACTCCCCACAGCTAGCCCTCCCTCACACACAACCGTGCCTTTGCTAATCACACTCTCTCCTCATGGAATGTCCACTCCTCTGTTTCACTGTTAAAATCCAATTCATCTCTCAAGATCCAAGTCCAATATTAGGACCTGCATGAAAAACTTCCTCCTATCTCTCCAAACTGAATGAATTACTTATCATTTTGACCCTCTCCCTCTGGACTTTTTCCACTTTTTTATGAATATTATTATACTCTACCCTCTAGTAAAACAATTCATTGGCACTTGTTTCCTTCTTGAATAGATTGTAAGTTCCTGCAGTATCACAATAATTTAACTATTCCCCAGTACTTAGCACAGTAGGAAGTACTCCATGAAAGTTTGATAAATGGAATATATTAATAAAAGTTTCAAAATACCTAATTTTCAAAAAAAGAGCTTTTTCATATCTCTGACCTATATGAACATCTAAGTTAGCAAAAGATTCCTTCTTATTGGAGGGAAAAAATTCTTAAAATCAATATTTAAATGGTAATAGTTCTCTCTTACTCAATTGTAACATTAACACAACAAATTGGGTAAATTTGTCTACACATACTTTGCTATAGAAACTGCAGAGCCCATGAAATGTCAAATCATGAATAAAATTCTTTGTCCCAAGACAATGCAAGCATCACTCACACACACACACACACACACACACACACACACACAACACATATAAAATTCTTGAAGCATTTAACATTTTCATCAGCTATGGGAAAACCAAGCTCACAGGTTTTCAGTTTATCAAGTATGTTTTCCCTCCCATACAAAGCAATGCATACAGTAAAGGCTTTGTGAACTTTGTTGAGGAACAATTTGTCCTACTTATCAGTTCCCATAAATCCCATGATGAACACGCTAGAAACAAACCCCTGAAGGAGAAAAAGGTAGCAGGTGGCGTTGAAAAGAGCCTTTCCTATAGTCTGTGACAGACTCATCCAACAAGATTCTACTCACAAAAGAAGCCTTTCATTGTATCACAATGGCAGCCTTTGTCCCACAGGTAAATGATCAGGAAATCAGAAAAGTTCTCCGAGTGATGACTACATTTCTCCACACCAAGTTTAAGTTGTTCATTGCTGAGATCCTTAGCATTATTGTGGGAAACTCTACCATGACCCCATGACCCGTAAGCTGGCTAAAGATCAAGGCCAGCCTAATGAGCCTCTTGGCGTGGCCTGAGCAAGGAAACTGCTGTCTCTCTTGGCCATTTTCAGGGATTAGAGGTTCCTCCAACATTAAACATTTATTCTTCGGTATTAAAGTCAGTGATCCCAGTCCACTATGCGAATGACAACAAAGTGGACCAAACTGTCTTCAATACAATTTGGTAAATTAATTTTATAGGAATTGTTCCCTATCCTTACAGCTGACAGGTTGTAAGCCACTGAATGATTAGTGAAAGGTAGTCATGGGAAAGCAAACGGAGGGGCACAAAGGTAGAATTCAGAGCCCCGAAGAGGGGCCAAAGGAAAATCCTGGCTGCTCTGAAGATTAGGAGGGCCAGCTCTGCAAGTAATTCACTATTTTCCCTCCTATTTTTTTTTTGACTTTGATGTATTTCTTAACTCTCAGATTAGAATTTTTATGTTATTCACCTCAAATTATGTCATTGTAACTTCCTGGGGGAAAAATAAAACACTGTCATTTACTTTTAACTGCTGGATTTGTGAAGTAAATATACTCTATTACGATTAATAAGTTTTTCCCCCAGTGGATTTGGGCAAAGTCCTTTCTGGTCCTGACAACTTTGATTATTGTGGTTAATGGGATAGTTTTCCAATAAATCTGTCAATCGAACCTCCACTTTCCTCTGTAACCCAGTGTTGGCTAACAGAGACAGGAGCCACTAAATCACTGTTTACCAGGGTGTTTCTTGAAGCATAATCTCACTAGATGGCCCCCCCAAAATAAATATTTATCCCCAAAATATCTCTTGGAAATTTATAGTATATCTACACATAGTAACATTCTTGAAAATGCCAGTTTAAAAAATCATTTTGCTTAAATACATTTGCCAAACTATATTGACCATAGAATAATGCTCATCTCATCTAAAACAGCTGGCAAAATCAGTGTGTCCCTGAACACATTAAGCCATTTTAAAATGTAATCAGCTACAGAGATACTACATAGCACATTCACGTACAGTTTATATAATAATTATTAAAAGAGGCTTTCACGGAATAGTAAACAGAGAGCTAAATTCATCTCCATTATTCTGTTACTTCCTTGAGGAGACAACTCACATGTCCCTCATACAGTCTTTCAGGTTTCACCCATTCATTAAGAAATTAAGTATTATTTTTGTGGCACTTGTGCTAAATGCTAAAGTTTTAGAGTAAAGTAGTTTTTTTCACCTTTAAGGATTGTACAGTCTACTGAGGGGAGATAAACATATATACAATTTCAATAAATGTAATTAGTGCTCCAAAAAAGTATTCATGGAGGTTTTTTGTTTGTTTGTTTTTGTATTTTAAGCAAAGGGAAAATTAGCTCTACCTACACAAATTAGGAAAGATCCCATTAGTGACTTTGAGCTGAACCTTAATGGATAAATAGGTTACTGACAATGAGATAAGCACAAATTAGATGCTCAATAGATGTTTACCAGGCAGATAAATTCAACACTAAAATTGGTATTTTTAATGACATCAACTCAGCAAAATAAAAGAAAGAAAAATAGAAATAAAATAGAAGCTATTTCTAATGAATATACAAATAAGTATATAAACTTGTTTTATTTTTAGAAATAACCTCTGACCTGAGAAAGAAAGGAAAGATAATAAGTATCTTAGCAATAGTTTTGTTCAGGGGTTGGAAGGCATAGATCAGTGGTAGAGTGCGTGCCTAGTATGCATGAGGTCCTGGGTTCAATCCTCAGTACCTCCATTTAATAAATAAATAAATAAACCTAATCACCACCCCCCAAAAATAAAATGTTAAAAATGCTCTTGTTCAGAATATAACATTTCTGTTATACAGATATAGAGAACAAGTATCACCTGATAAGCAATTTTCTTATGTAAGTAGCAAAGATATCCACAAGACTGTATTTTCCCAGATTTCTATGCCAATTTATTAATAATACCCAGGGAGTGTTGAAACTTCCGGCCAAAGCTGACTCAAATCAAGGTAGCCGAAGGAAGTTAACAGCAACAAAACAAGGTGAAAAGTGAGGCACTGACAACTGAAGTGCCCTCCTTTCAATAACTTAAGAAAGCCTCCAGTTTGCCTCAACAATCCAAAACTTTGGTACTGGAATGAAATAAGACCAGAAGGCCATGCTGAAATCCAGCTGCAGTCACTCCAAATGAGAGCCCAGCTACAGCCCAGCTTCCCAGCAGTCAGGGAAAGTCAATTCTAATGCTCTCCAGAAAAATTAACCTCAGAAAAACACATCTCTTATCCACATATACTAGCTCTTCAGTGAAATAAATTAGAATTTCAGGGGAAACAGACAATACACCTGTCTACTTTAGAAATTCTTCATGACCAGGTTCTGACCTCATCAAGAAGAAAGTAGTGATTCCCAGACTTCCACTTGCTGTCTTGAATGGTCAGAAAGGAAAAAAAGACCTACTGGAGTAAACATAAGACCAAGTTATAGAGGGTCCTAGGATCATACTGGATAAATAACAGTTTATAAAAATAAAAAGTTTTCTTGACTACTCCTTGTATTTTGTAATGTGTGTCTTTAAAAGGAACCTGGAAACCCTGGGATCCTAAAAGTTACTAAAGCATGAATTTATGTGTGCACTAATGCTAAAGTCGTAATGAAACCCAACTCTGGGCTCCAGATGACATGTCTCCTCACAGCCTCTCTATCAATGTCCAACAGAAAGCATGTTCTCTTTAGATGGTCTCTGCAAATAGAGATCGTGGCTATCTACTGCATTCCTCAAAGAGCCTCATTTTTAGTAAGAGCCATATATATCTGTGCATTGTTTATTAAACTGAATGATGTATAGGAGGGCAAAATTGTATATTTTGGAAACAAATCCCTTGTCATTCACATCATTTGCAAATAGTTTCTCCCATTCTATAGGTTATCTCTTTGTTTTGTTTATGGTTTCCTATGGTGTGCAAAAACTTTTAAGTTTAATTAGATTCCATTTGTTTCCATTACTCTAGGAAACAGATTTAAAAAAATATTGCTGCAATTTATGTCAAAGAATGTTCTATGTTTTCCTCTATTAATTGTATAGTATCCAGTCTTACGTTTAGGTCTTTAATTCATTTTGAGTTTATTTTTGTATATGGTGTTAGAAAATGTTCTAATTTCATTCTTTTACATGTAGCTGTCTAGCTTCCCTGGCACCACTTATTGAAGAGACCATTCAAACAAAAAATTTTTAAATTTGTATAGAAACACAGAAGACCCTGCATAGCCAAAATAACCTTGAGAAAGAAGAATGGAGCTGGAGGAATCATGCTCCCTGATCTCAGACCACACCACAGAGCCACAGCAATCAAAACAGTATGCTACTGGTACAAAAACAGACACACCGATAATGGAACAGGATAGAAAACCCAGAAACAAGCCACGCACGTATGGTCAATCAATCTATGACAGAGGAGGCAAGAATATTGACTTCATTCTTAAAATAAAGTTGGACTGGCTCTACATTCTAGGTTCAAATCATTAAACAAAATTTGATAAACATTGTCTTATAGTCTTTTGGCATATAGTGTTCATGGGTTCTGATTCATATTAGTTTCCTTTTTATTTCTATTCATATTTAGGATTTTCTTTTGATTTTTATAATATTAAGATTTTAACTGAATTTGATTTTTTACAACTTTCATTATGTGGTATTTCACAAAGTCTTCCAAAGTAAAGTGCAAAGTCTTTATCCAAGCCTGGGGGTTGTTTTCTATTATTGGTTTAATGTAATTCTACCTACTGTGATCTCAGTTCTGAGATATCTTTGAACTCTTATTACATATATATTAGATCTTGTTCATCTTTTTTTGTATATATGTTTTTTTTATTGAGTTATAGTCAGTTTACAATGTGTCGATTTCTGGTGTACAGCATAATGCTTTAGTCATACATGAATATACATATATTTGTTTTCATATTCTTTTTCACCATGTTACTGTAAGAAATTGAATATAGTTCCCTGTGCCATACAGTATAAACTTGTTGTTTATCTAATTTTTTATATATTTATTAGTATCTGTAAATCTCAAACTACCAATTTAATCCTTCCCACCTCCTTCCCCCACCAGTAACCACAATTTTGTTTTCTATGTCTATGAATCTGTTTCTGTTTTGTAAATAAGTTCATTTGGTTTTTTGTTTGTATGTGTGTTTGTTTGTTTTAGATTCCACATACAAGTGAATTCATATGGCATTTTTCTTTCTCTTTCTGGCTTACTTCACTTACAATGACAATCTCCAGGTCTATCTGTGTTGCTACAAGTGGCATTATTTTATTATTTTTTATGGCTGAGTAGTATTCCATTGTATAAATATGTATCAAAGGATGAAAGTTTGAAATGCTTTGTTTTCCTCTACAGTCCTGCAGGCTTGTTTCCCCTCTAGATATCTTTCCTGGATTTGGATATTCTGAAAATTAACAAGACAGGTCAACTCATAGTTTTCCCTCTAAGAAGAGCTTTAAGACAATGAGTCAGGGTTAGCCAGCATAGCTGTCAAGGTAATTACCAGTTCCTGAGTGACACTGAGTATCCCATTTTCTCTCTTTCTCCTCCTCCTTCACTCCCCCACCCACTTCCCCTTCCATCTTCTTTTTCTTTTCCCCATCTATTCTCTTAACTTTTCTTTGCTTTCACTGTTATTTTTCAAGGGGCCTATTAAACATGTGCTCCAATGCATATCTTGAATGAGAAATCCTCACCATATTATTTTAAGCAGTGTTTTGGGGGACCTCATGAGAGAATCTGAAGGTATTTTATATATCTACTTCACATTTTTATTGAGGAAGTTCTTGGGCCAGCCCCTTTGATTCTAAAAATGAATCTATGTGTTTTAGAATAATATCTATGCACTTTACTCATGGTAATATAAACCCAGTCATTGTACTGTACACAATATGGAAGGTCTCATAATTTTAGTACCATAACATGCCAACTATATATTTTAGAGTGGTGGTTCTTTTTGCCAGTTATGGTTATGCATTTTGCTTTTGATGTTATTCACTAGAATTAACCTTCAAGATTTTGAAACATACAAATTTCTGCACTAAAATGTTACTTTTCTGATGTCTTAAGAATTAGTCATATAGAGAGTTGATAGTGATTTACGCTGCAACTATCACAAACACTGTTGTACTTCAAGCATACAGTAGAGTATTGAGATAAGCCTGACACTAATGAAGTTGCTGAAAAATAAAGTGGGACCAAAAATAATAATAAAACCACATGCATATGAATACACCAAAAGAAAATAAAGTACATATCAGATGTAAAAACACTAACAGAATAAGAGGAAGTTGTTATGGGTAAAAGAATGCAAATAAGTCAATAATCATCATTTCACTTACTACAAAAATATTTATTTCACAGTGCTAGAAATATGAACTTCTCACAAAACATAATAGCTCCACTGTGTGAGAGTTAAATAAATGGATATTGTCTATCAGTATCTAAAAAAGAGGAAGCTGTTGCTTGACTGAGAAGCCCTGCTGGTCCTCCTCCCATACTCCAGGGATGTTTCAGGAGTTGGCTTTGGCCCCTCAGATGAATATGTGACTAGATCAAGGCTGGTGGATCAGTTATAGATCACAAACACAGTAAGTTTTGAGGCTTTGTTCAACATCAACCCAACATCCTGGGAGATTTCTTTTCATAGGAATTCTGATTCTCCCTTTGCTCTACTTTGGAAAACACCAGGGTATCTGAATAGCTCCAATATAGAATCCACCTAGATCATCTACAACAATCACTCAAAAGTCTTTTAGCTCTCTTAGATTGCCTTAGGTCAATAAATACGACATGAGGAATGTTCAGTGTCACTAGTACTGGGTAAGCGTTAGACTATCAGCTTCACAAGGGCAACAATTTTTGCCTGCTTTGGTTACTAATTAATCCTTAATGTCAGGAACAGTATCTGAAATAATTTAAGTGCTCAAAGAATAATATCCAGTTTTGCAAAGTTCCCAAGAGACCTAGGTTAGTGTCTAAAATAGATGGGAGAGCCCTGCTGTAGAACTGTTTTTCTGTCAGTAGGGGTGAGGATGCCAAGCATTCCCAGGTGAAATACATTATGCTGACAAAACAGTATCATTGAAGGTATTCTGATCCTCTGGTACTTGTGAATTAAATAAAGACTCAACTGAAAGTCAGTATCATTCTACGACTCTAAATCAATGGTTGAGAAATTACCATGCAGAATAGAGCACCTTCATGATTTGGGGACTGATCAGACCATAGTCTTCGAAGCATCATTTGACCCTAATGATCAAAGGAAAATGATGTGACTGAACAGTCCAAATAGAATGGCTGGTCTTCTTCCTTTAGCAGCTTCTTTTAGCAATTTTGAAACTCTGCCATCTTTCTCTGAACAGCAGAAGCCAACTATTCTGAGAAATAGAAAATCTCAACTTTGTGCAAACTGAATAAACATTTTCGGGTCCTAAACATCACTCCTAACTTTCTAAGACATGAATTACTTCTAAGAAAAAGAGGACTACAACACAATGCTCTTATTATTTCTTGTTTGTGTTCTGGCAGTCCTCATTGATTCCTGTAAATACCTCAATCTGGCCAAGGACTTCATAGCTAAGGTGAAGTCACAGTTAACATTTTTTTCCCCAGAGAAATGTATGCAAAAGAAAATATTCTTCTCTGAATCATCTAAGCAAATTATTTGGTTAGCTATATTTTACCAAAATATCCCCCATATTGAAAATTTTATGATATATACTTTGTAACTTAGAATAAGCTGTCTTTGAAACAAAACAATTATTCTGAATTCAATGATTTAATTTTGTATTTCCAGAATGTTTCACTTGTATTATTGAAATTTAAAAATCTAAATGCAACTTTGATTCATAAAAGGTTAATCAATCAGCAAGTATACATTGAATGCTTATACCATGAACTTACTGAAGAATAAAATGCAAATGGCTTTGCTACTTTATATTGATTAAAATATTTCATATTTAGATTTAACTGGTATGAAGTTGCTCTTGGGTATTTAAGAAATGGTCGGTTTTCTAATTTTTAAAAATCAATGATTGTAATTCCGGAAGGAAGATGACCAACCACAGCCCATAATATAGATAGAGGGTCACTTGATATCCAGGTTCTTAAACTAAAAAGAAACATTTGAAATATTAAAGTGTTGTGACCAGCTATTATCATTTTAACAATACCTTCCAATTCAAATAGGTGGAATTAGTTGATTGAGAATGCAATTAATTTTTTAAAACTCCTCTATATTTTTTCATAAAACATAAAAATGCATTCTTTAAAAAGGTGGATAGTCTCTTTTCAAGCTTTATAAATGACAGCTCTATTTCCTCCTATGCATTTCACTAACCACAGTTGACACAAAGATGACTCTGCTATCGTCAAATCTTTCCTTTTTGTCATCTTCCTATTGGGTGTAATGTAGGAGGAAGATAAATCACATGATGCAAAGCACTAATACCCTTTAATTAGTCTCCAGTTATTTACTTTGGGTCTTCTTTACAGTTGAGAGGCCAACTCAACCTACTGCCAAGCAAGACCTGACGGGCACAAGGGAAGGTAATCATATTGAAATGTCCAGAGAGAATGACTCTTTTTCACAGGAGTTAGTCATAATTTCTTCCTCTTAGCTTTTATTGCTAAGCTTGAATATGCCTTGGCATCATTTTGACATTAGTTTCTAACCTAAACCTTAGATTCTGTATAATGTTATGATTAAATTTATTTTTAACTTCACTTTGGGTTATTTTTATCTTCACTACTGGCCAAACTACTGAAGACAATGTAAATTGTAAAGAAAAGTTGTTCAAGACAATGAACTTATTCCTACAGACAAATGTGGAGGGCTAACTTCTCAGAAAGATGAATGTGTCATAATAATCCAGATTGACCCCTTAATTAATTTAAAATTTTTATTTCTAGCTAAAGATTATAATTTTATTTGTTATAGTATAACTTTTAAAAAAATTATGAGTTACTTACCCTCACGAAAGCTGAATAGTTCTGCTGTTTCATAGACTTTTCCATCAAGTACTCATTGGTTTAAGTAACATAAGTAAAGTATGGTCTTATCTCTCTGATTTCTGTTTATGCTAAAAAAGAAGAACTACTATCATTTTACAGATTGCTTGTGTGTGACTGTGTGTGTAAATCTGTATATGTGTTATAATTCTGCTTGAATTGAAAACATTCTAAGAGAGATCTTAACTATTCCAATTACAAAAAAGAAATGATAATTATGTGACATGATAGAAGTGGTAATTATCACTACAATGGCAATCACATTACAATATATAAATATATCAAATCAACATGTCATATAGTTTAAATTTACACAATGTTATATGTCTAATATATTTGTGTTAAAAAATGAAAAAAGGTAACTGGCAAGTGAAGAATTAATAGGGAACTCCATTCTTTTCATTGAAACTTGAGTTTGCTTGTAGATCTCACATGAGTTCTTTTCCAACCAATGATATCCCATCAGAGGTTCTGAAATCAGCTTAGTAGATAGTCTTTCTAATCATTATTATCTGTGAATCAAAAGCAAATGGAGTCTGGTGTGTTCCCTTTACCAAGCCTGGACTTTAACTCTGTGACCCTCTCTTGTAAAACTCAGTTTGCAAATCTCAAATCTATACAAGTAGGTCAATAACAGTAGCTGCAACAAGATGTGGTTAGCATTTATTTCACAAATACCATATATACTGAAATATTAAAAGCTTAAACTGTTATATGTATCTTTCTAAAAAGACTATTTTTAAAAAATCAAATAAGCATGTGTGACTCCTATACTCCTTTAGAAAGATAAGGCTAATTTATTTCTTTAAATATTTCAGTCAAAGCCCTGTCGTTGTCATACCTATGTTTTTATTAAAACAATCAAGTTAATCTCATCATTCATGATGACTGGAGAAGTAATTGTGAAGAATGCAGTTTCAGTATACCCTCCATCTCCTCCATCTTACATGTTCCTGTTAGACCAATCATGGAATTACAGAATTTTAGAAATTTTAGTTCAAACTTTCATTTATAGGTAAGAATAGTAAGGCCCAGATAAAGGAAATTACTTGGACAAAATTGCTCAAGTAGAGATAGAGCCTGAGATGGAACTCAGTTCTCCAAAGGAATGTGCAGTCACACAGTCTCTGGTCCTGAACCACTCAGCTGGTTTCCCTTGTTTACAAAGCCTTGCCTAACTCTTCAGACTGGCATGGGAAGCCTCTCCTTTTGCTGCCCTAAACCTTCTCTCCAACTTTATCTTTCCCTTTTCTCCATTTAAAAGCCCATGGATATTCAGAAGGCTTTCTCTTCTATTTGAAGGTTCTCTATTAATCTCTGCGTGAGTAAGTCCCACCTGTATCTCCCACACAAGTAGTTTGTTGATTTCTTAACTGAAAACTTCTATATGTAGAAAGCCACTTTTGTGACATTTTCGACTTTCTTTCCTCTAACAGTGACTTGTTGTTGCAACTCTCTTCCTACAATTGATGCTACTGGGTAAGACTAGCAAGACCAATTCACCTTGATAATCTCAACACTTGACAGTGCCTTCTTGTTCTTTATATATATATGCTAAAATTTTTATTTATAGGTAAGAATAGTACCTAGAAATGTACATATATATTTATAGGCACCATTATGTGCCTATACATTATATATGTGTATATATATGTATATACATAGGGACACATTTTTTTCCAACAAAGTTTAAAGTTATTCAAACTACCTGTCCTTCTCTACAACAGAATAAAATTCTTATGTAATTTAATTATTTATAAAAAATTGTGTCTATGACTTTCCTTATTAATGGCCTACTAGTAGGTTCCTGGTACATGTCAAATGAATATATGATTAACCTTGTAATGATACTTTTAATATTATAGCCAAAAGTCAAATTCATACACATTATACTGTTTGGTTTTTCTAAAGTTTTTAGTAAAATAAATTTACCACATTGGCTATATCTACCCATAAATCTAGTGCGGTTTTTCCTTAAAGCAAAGAAAACATTGTTCCAAATCACTCCTAAATTATTAGTAACAGATCCTTTTAATTTAATTTTTTAATCTTTATTTTTAGGTGCAATCATGAAGAGCTTCTTCCTAGTCGTGACTATCCTGGCATTAACTCTGCCTTTTTTGGTGAGTTAATTGCATCTAATGAATTTGTATTAAAACTTTAAGAAAATTTTATTTAAAGTCTCTAATTATGTAAATTTCTAAATACAGTTATATTTATAGAGCAAAATAGCTGCATACTAACTATATTTTCATAAAAGTAACTCATTTTTACATTTATCTCTATTACAAAATTTAAAAGATGTTCTGGACATCAGTTTTCAAGAATTAAGAAATCACACTTTATCATGTATAGAAAATCTTTAAAATTCTCATATGATAGAGAAAATATATTTTTGGGGAAAAACAATACTGAAGATATTTTTTAATTATAATATGCTCTAAAAATAATTCACAAAAAATAAATGCAAAAATCATAGTTCAGGATCAGAAATGTTTTAAATTAAATTCCTATCTCACACAGACCCCAATCACTTTAGAGACTAAATTCTTAAAAGATTGGGAAATTGTTTAAGCTTTTTTACCAGTTTCAAAGACCTTGGCACATCTACCTTTACCGTCACACATACTGTACATTTTATTATATTCTTCCCAACACATCAGCTGACTGACTCCTCCCCAGGGATACTGTCCATAATCAAATCTAATTTTCGGGCATTTTTTTAAAAGTTACATTCTGTGTATTAAAGCTATCTGAAAAAGAAGAGGGTTTTGGGGGATTTTTTTCTTTTAATTTTTAGACTTGTTTTCATTGTCATTTTGGCTATCACCCTGCTTTATTTTCATGTTCATTCAGCGATCCCAGGCACTTATTTGCAAACAGCAAGAACAGGAAGGCAAACATACGATGTTTTGCATCCTCCTCTTAGATTGTAAAATTTGGGAGGCCCTTAGTCCTTGTTTCATAATTCACTTATTATTAAATTTAGACTTGTTTTTAAGTTAATATCGCCTAAATAATTCTATGAGGTAAATTCTTGGAGTCAAACTTTTAAAAAATTTTGAACGACTATGACATTCACATTTATTTTCTTTCATTTATTCTTTGAAATTTGATTTTATTGTGGCACCTGCACATTTTGAAAGTGGGCTTTCTCTTTGAGTAACAGGGATTGAACTTTGTATCAGAAATGATCCATGACTGCCTGACCTGCAGCAACCACTTATGAGTTACTGGAGCCTGCTGGAGCCCACAGACACTCCTTCCTGCTTTCACAAAGCTGCAGGCCCCACAGACATGAACAAATAATTAAAAGGAAGAATGAAAGTTTATAGATTTTTTACCATTCAATCTTATGAATGATCAAAATGATACAAATTAAAATAGTAATGTGAAACAACAAGTTTCTTCTGTGTAGCACAAGGAACTATATTCAATATCTTGTAGTAACCTATAATGAAAAAGAATATGAAAACGAATACATGTATATATATGTATGACTGAACATTATGCTGTACACCAGAAACTGACACAATATTGTAAACTGACTATATTTCAATTTAAAAAAGAAAAAAGAAATAAATTATTAAATTCTTCAAAAAAAAAGCAATGTGATAGCATCTTTTATGTGCTAAATGTATTCCTTCTCTCCAAAATAAAAATAGTTAAGATAATATTTATTACTAGCAATTATGAGATGAACTGCATAATCCATAGACTTATGGTGGCTATAAGTTGGCACAACTTTTCATTACAGCAGTTTAATAATTTCTACAAAGACTTTTTGTCCCCCCAAAACCACACTTTTGAAAAACTATCTTAAGGAATCAATGAAAACTATTTAAAAGGCCACTGATATCCAGATGTTATGCATCCCTCTATATACAATAAAATTTTTTTTTGAAAAAAGCTTTATGGTTAGCAATAATGAACAAACATTTCAGGACATAATCGTTGATCATTTATTTTTAAACTATAAATATGTAAATATAAAAACTATGAGATAATGAAAAAATATGAGAGATCAAGTTTCTTGAAAAAAATAAGGTGCAGGATACGAAAATGAATGTATAGCAGTTGTATGTAATACATATAAATTAATATTATATTAAGATGTCTAGATTATCAGAATTTTTGAGTGGAGGCAAACTTTCTACAATATTCATATTACTTTTTAAATTTTAAACAAATGATTTAATAAATTTAGAGAAAAACAAGTCTCTGTCTCAACACACCCTGAATTCTATTATTTTTTTCAAATTTCTATACCTACAACATTCAAAAGGTTTCTAGAGCCTTTTATATCCAAGGGATATGTGTGCGATGTCCTAAACTCAAACTACCATTTTAAAATATTTAAAATTATGACCTCATCGCAAAAGTTTATAAAACTTTTGGGAGTTTTAAAGTTTTATATATACATGCCTATGGAAATTAGTTTCTCATTCCTGACTCATAATGTGTGTTGCAATTCAGAATTAAGAAAAATACTATAAAAACAAATGAAAGTTGATTTTTAAAAAGCATAATTATATAACATTTATATATCGATGTTATGCTAGGAGCCATTTTTTTAACCTAGAAAACTTCAAAAATCATCTTAATAGGAGGGCAGAAATATATTCTCAATATTCTTCTTACTTTTAACAATATAGATTCAATACAAACTGAATATAAGTTATTCATATTTTTCATTTAAGCAAATGTCACATGTATTTGTTGGCACAGGGGTCAGATGATCATAGTCTCTTCAACCTTGAATTTTTCTCCCTAGACAATGATTTTTAAAAGACAACTGTAGAGTTCATTATTACTATTTAGTTAGTATATCATTGTTGCTTCTTGAGTGGTTCACAGGCTTTTTAGATTAGTTAACCATGGAAAATGCTTTATAATAATTTACAATACTAAAATAAAAACAAAGAAAACATGTTTTGTCTTTAATATAAAAGGTATCTTTAAAACCACAAAAAAAAATCTAAAATTCTTGCTTTTTTTTTAACTTTGTATTTCTTATTACTTCTCTGAATCTCACCAGGGTGCAGAGGTGCAAAACCAGGAACAACCAACAGTAAGTTTGTCTCTAGTAGAGACACGGACTCCAAAGTAAATTCTACAAAGTTTATTCTGCAAAGTTTAATGATATTAAAATGCCTTTTGTCTAAAAACTAAGTATTTAAACCCCATAAAATAATCTAATAATCTGTGTAAAAGTCATCATGTTAGCAATCAATCATGTGAATTAATCTCAAAGTTCTTCTAAAAATCTTGGTATCATCTTATAGACCAAGCCACGTCTTTTGGCTTTCATGTGTATTTAGCAATATGAGAAAACTCTCTCAGAATTTAGTACTGGAAAAAAATGAAAACAAAAGTAAAGTTTAGTATTTCTCCTGCCTACTTTTTAAGACTTGGGGAAAGATCCATCTTTGAATACTTCTCGTACACTTATATTTACTTTCTCCTTTTGTTTCCCCAACATTCTGTTTGAATGAATACGTAAATATGTCTTCTTTTATGAGAAGTATTTGCTTTGCAGTGTAATTTTGTTGATTTGTTTCTATTTATATGGAAAGATCTAATGACATATTTTTATAATTGCACATAATCAATAGAATGGAGTCAAATAAAAATCGAAAATTTCCTTACTGATATTTAACAGATAAAATTAAGCTGAAAAAAATCCAAAATATACATCCAGGAAGTCTCCTACATCACTTTATTTTTCTATTCTGATATAATTAGGTTGGTGGGGGGATGTGCCCTCAGCCTTATCTCTAGGTAAATAAAATCTGTAAACAATTACAAACATGTGGTGAGAATACATATATATACATATAAATATGAAAAAATATGTACATATTTTTCCTGTGTGTGTAGTATGTTTGTGCAGAGTATGCCAAAGCTCTCTATGAGATTTGTCTTATTGTTGTACTTATAATATGCAACATTTCCTGAGCACTTTTTATATACGCCAAGCTCTGGGCAATGTGATTTACATTATGAATTATCTTACCTAATTTTTTGAAACTAGTGTTATTTTTAATACTTGCTGAAAATCAAGAAGTGAAAGAAAAGTGTAAAAATTCACATCTTGTAAAATATTATGGTTATTGGGTTCACTATTTCCAACACTGTACCTACTTAACATCAAATACTGTAACATTATTTCAAAAAATTCTGATTTAAATTATCTCTACATTCTAGCTTACAATAATACCATTCTTCATAATTTGTTCTTTTTGCAGTGCTGTGAGAAGGTAGAAAGATTGCTCAATGAAAAAACAGTCAAATATTTCCCAATTCAGTTTGTGCAGAGTAGATATCCTAGTTATGGAATCAATTACTACCAACACAGACTAGCTGTACCAATTAATAACCAATTTATTCCTTATCCAAATTATGCAAAGCCAGTTGCAATTAGACTACATGCTCAAATTCCTCAGTGCCAAGCCCTGCCAAATATCGACCCACCTACTGTGGAACGTCGGCCACGTCCACGTCCATCATTTATTGCCATTCCCCCAAAGAAAACCCAGGATAAAACAGTCATCCCCGCCATCAATACTGTTGCTACTGCTGAACCTCCAGTCATACCTACCGCTGAACCAGTAGTGAACACTGTAGTTATTGCAGAAGCTTCCTCAGAATTCATCACCACAAGTACACCCGAGACCACCACAGTCCAAATTACTTCAACTGAGATCTAAAAACTAAGGAAACATCAAAGAAGACAACACAGGTAAATAAGCAAAACACAAAAATAAACACTAGACAAGGTTCATGGATTTATCAACACAATCATAAAATCTAAAATAGTGTCGATGGATAAATTAAGTCTGTTATGGGAACAGGCAAAATGGGCTAATTTTAATTTTTATTTGGTGGGGCCATAGCATTATACACTAAATTATTTTCCAACAGGAAATGAAAAATAACATTATTTTACAAAATGAAGAAAAATTGGGGATTTTATTATCAAACTTTTTTTTTTTTGACAAGTGGAACACTCCTCGAACTTACTAGTTTTATTTTATTCCTGGTCACACACGAAGACAGTAGAGTAAAATACTATGTTAAACTTATGATTTTTCTTATCTCCAAAGTAAAATTTCTTAGAACAATTTATATAGGATATGAGTTTAAATACACTTTAATTATTTAACAGTGTTCTTGAACTCTAATTTTGGTACAAATAGAGTGAAAGGAAATGATACATTTCCCACGTAGAACATGGTGGATCCTCTCCCATGTAGCTTCATGGATCCTCTCAGAAATGATGTCTGAGTTAGGCACCCCAAATTTCCTATTTGAAGATAAACCCATGGAAGAATTATAATTCTTAACTTGAAAAACACCTACATACTCAAAGGATACTTTCAGAACTTTAAATGTGATGTAAAATATTTCTGTTTATTTGGTCAATGGATAATGGCAGAGTCTAAAATAATTTAAAACTTATATGAAGAAGTTAAACAAAGAGAAAGATTAATAAAACAGAAAATAAAGAATGTGAAATAATTTGGGGAGAAAGTGACAAAATTTTGAGAGTCTCTACAACAAATATTTTCAGTGCATCACATTGTCTACATGTTTTATGATCTAAAATACAACTCAGTGATCTATGATATAATAATAACAGCATTAGATCAGAGAAGGCTGCTTCTTCCCTTGTGTGACCTTATATAAGTCATTACTGTCTTTGAACTTTCATTTTCTCATAATTTTGGTTGCTATGAGATTCAAGTGAGAAAGCACATTGTGAATGAGTTGTAAAAATTGATCAATCTGTGAAATGTAATGGTCTAGAAAAGATAAAGTAAAATTAATAAATGCTAAAATTTACTTTCAACCAATATCTCAAGTCCTTACTAAATTATCAAAACTACATAACTATCTCAGTTTATTCCTATAGCAGCCATATGGAATAGGTTATATTACTATTTTGAATTCACAAATGGAAAAAAATAGGCCAGACCTGTAGATTATAGATAGTAAGGCTTAATTGGCTTGACATCTATTTCCATATGGCCTAATTTGCAAACAAAAAAAAAAAAAACAGAAAACATACTTTAGTTTCCCAAGATCAGCGTATGTATACATTTTATCATTGAGTTTGTATTTAATAGGACATCTGGTAAGAAAAAAAATGATAGTAAGCTGGATAAATTTCTGACTTATTAAAATTTTGAAAACAAAATGAGAAAATTAATGGAGACAACATGAAAACAAGTAATTGAATATACATCTATCTATTGATCCAAATACATTATTACATGATTGTATTTTTAATAGAATAATCATTATCTTAACAGTTACATTTGTTCAAAACTCATGAACCCAGATTTCTAAGTTCATACCTCTGTATAATATCACTTATAAAAAGACTGTAAAGAATTGTGTCTTTCTAGAAATATGAGGTGAAGTCAATTATTTTCAGTTCACTATATGTCAAATTTAAATATTTAAATTTAGATATTTAATTTGATAAACTCCTTGGATATGGACATGAGACAAATCATGGAAGCTAAATAAAAGTCTACATGTCATGAGAACCGCTAACACACAATGAACTAAATTCCTAAACTGTCATTTTTTATAGGTCTTGCTGAAACCAAACGACCAGTTCAAACTCTTCTTTGGCCAGCTGTCTGCCTTCAGTCAAGAGAGAATATGATTTTCACAGATTCAGCTCCTTTCTCTTCTCCCCTTACATTTTACATTCATGCCACATTTAATTTTTTGATCTTGCATAATAAAGCTAATTGAATGCAACTGGATCTCTTGAAAACAGTCTGTGAATACACCTTAGGGATCTTTGAAACTTTGAAATTCCAAGATAAATTTAGTGTGAGTTTGAGTATATACATTTAACTGGAGGCAAAGTTCATAATTTCATCTGATTCTCAAAGTGGGTCCATTGTTTAACACTGGTTAAGAGTACCTTCTGCAGTATGACACTGGAATATCTAAATTCATGGCTAAGTCATTGGGACCCGAGAAGAACTAAGCCATAGTGTTAGAATCCAGAGGACCACACAGTGACTCTTGGGAGCCATGAGAACTCTAGAGTTAGCATCAAAGTATCCAAATGTAATGCTAATTTTAGTCGAGATCATTCCCGAGAGCAATTTCTGAACACAGACAGGCTACTGATAACTACAACTACAAACACAGACATATGGCAAAATTAATGGGAGTTGATGGAGACTCTTGACCTGCATGTTCAGTCTCCTCCAGACTTGAAGCTACAGACTCACACCTGTACACAGAAACACACATACACACACACACACACAGCAGGCACACACCAGGAAGCTTCTAGAACTGAGGTCTTCTAGTCTACAAAATTTAGTGAAAACTCAAAATTCAAAAATATACCAGTTTTTCCTTTGAGGAAACAGTGCAAGGAAAATGTGCTTTCCCCATATTTAGCACACTGAGCCAGGAAAAATACAAATCACTCAACATTTACAAAAAGCTTACTGTCACCCATCTAGTCTCTTGCTGAAACCCTCAATAGATGTTCTATTGTTAGGAGTATTGTACAAGACTTTACCTTCTCTCTCTCAAATGCTAGGGTCTGGAAGTGAGGCCTGGTCAGAAACATGGCATGGTTGGGCTTCATTTATAATGACCATTAATAATATTACTAATTTCAAGTAAAACAAAGTAAAATTGCGGAAGAAATAGAATTTATTTCATTAATTTAAAAAATTTATCACAAAGTACTATAAGAATTCTTGTGGAATATAAGACAATAATAGTATTAAATAATAATAAGCAATCAACAGTTATATATTACAGACCAAAGGTCTTTGTTCACATGTATTTAATTATTTAATATGTACTCATGGACTACATATTATTGTAGTTGTTATCATTATTACTGCAAAAGAGAAATGAAGTAATTTTCCCCAAGTAGGCTTCAATGAATGTTTATTTTTTCATCCGTCAAGGACATTTACCATCCACAAGATAAAGTCAACTTTCATGATCTTGCTGTTACTACCTTCCTACCTCATCTCTCCCCATTACATCCTCATGCCATTCACCCCAGTGACTCAAAAACTCTCATGACAGCTTTGGCTGTGCTACCATCACAATGAGCACTTTTTTGAAGCTACTAAAATCCTTTTGATAATTTATATCACATAATCAAAATCTGACTCCTTGTCTTAGATACCAAATCCTTAAGAAAAACTTTCCTAAACTTTCAAGATCAAGTGCTCCACTCTTGTGCTACCACAGCATCCTGCCCCTACCAGTCGCTTTCTCCTTAGTACTCATAAACCTCTGTTACACCTGCCTGTCCACCTCTCCTGCTGGGATATTAGCCCTGTGAACATAGGAACTATGTTCTCTCACTACTGTCCCTCCAAGGTAAGGCCCAATACAGTGCAGGAACTAAATAAATGTTTGCTAAACAAATGAGTAAGTAAAGGGATAAACAGATTGCTAATGGCTGAAACTGAAATATCCATTTAATAGGATTAAATAATCTAGGCTTTTTTTATCAAAGTCCAGAAAAGAAAAATGTTGATCTTAGCAGTTTATTACTGATCATAAAAGTTTATTACTGATCATAAACTACCAAAGGCAGTGATAAATTATTAGGTTAATTTTAAACTCAAAAGAAAATTGCTGCAAATCATAATACTAATCACAGCAATATAAAAGTGTAAAGAGAAAATGTTTTTACAATTTAATCTGTTTTCAAGGAAAGAAAGTTGAATGTCAACAGAATGATAACCAAATTGCTATATCAATATTATGTATTATTGTAACTCTAGCATACTATTTAGAAGGAGATGATGGCGTATCCTCTTCCTAATCTTCCTAATGTGATAAACTGTAGTAGTGGCTGAATGCCTAGATTATTGGAATGAAGGCTATAAACCTAACAGTCAAGACTAAAGAACAAAGATGTGCTTGAAAGATCAATTTTCTTCTTTTTATGTGTATATTTTATTAGAATATACGAATAAATCCAGAAACTCTTGAAGGCAAGATTAAAGTCCTAAATATCCCTATAAAATTAACATTTGGCATTAATATAGTTGCTTTCCACATTTAAAAATCATTCTTTTGAATTAGTCATCATAAAATACCTATAATCATTGTTGGGATGGTCAAGACAAGAACCTTAAAGAGTAAAACTTTGACATACCTCATGACACAGAAATAATAAATTTTAAACTGATGATTTCAAGTAATAGTACAAATGACAAAAATTTTATAAGGAATAAAATTATTCTTTATTTTTCCTAAGTAAAGGTGTAACAGTGAAACATAATATTTCCACAAGAAGAATCTACACAAGAAACTGATTTTGTCAACTTGACTTGACTTTCTTTTAATCAGTATTAACCCTTGCCAACAGCAATCATATTAAAGTCTTCTGTCTATCCCCAAAAGGAAATAAGTAGGAGGGACATTCAGGGATGAAAGCTTTATTTATTCAAAAGGGGCTCGCTAGTTTTCATTTGGAGACAACAACCACCAGAGAAGTCAGAGCGATTAAGAGAAGATAAATCCTACCGGAACACAAAGGAGAAACCCCTTCTAAGGTATCTATGCAGATAAGATATTGGGACATGGATTTTTCTTTCAGGCCCCAAGCTTGCCACAGTTTGGACTATGGAAAAGTAAATTTGATAACTGAGATTATCTGCTGACCATTAGACAAATTAAACTTGTTTCTAACACTATTAAACTGCTAATGGAAACCGATCATACCCACTCAAAGGCTAGATTCCCACCCACTTACACTATCTACAATTTAATCAGTGCTTATTCCTATGAATTACTCAAGTTCTATGGCTTGATAGCAGCTTTTGATAAAATGTAATTTAAGTGAAAAATCACAAGGTAAACTTTTTTTTGTTGAGTAAAAATAGTTATAACAAGAATGCCTCATTCTGCCTAAGGCATTTCTTGTTGATAAATTAAGTGCAGACCAGCACTTGCCTTAACCCTTCCAGGTCTCTATGGAAGCACTGGCTTTGACATCTTAAAAGTGCGAAATACAATTTTTTTAAGCTAAAAGCTTTTTTAAAAATAATGTTAACTTAGTTAATTTATTCTTATATTTAGAGAAGCATTAAGTTGTTAACCCCAATGACTAAATTATGCTCATATCCTTAAAATTTTATAAATGGTGCAAAAAGCTCTTGAATAACCAGCAAATTAGTTGCTGTCAGTATTGCTTTCTGAGAAGTCTTAATGTCATCATTTTCCAAAATAAATATAAATTTGAAAATCTATTTGTCACTACACAATTAAATATGAACTATCTTTATTAGTTTTTCTTGCTAGTATCCATGAAGAAAATATGAAAGCCCTCATCTTATCTATGATCATCTGGAACCTTACTACATTCTTCTTGGTAAGTTTTCAGTGCTTTTCAACAGGTAATTTTCTTCTCATTTAGAAAAAGATAAAGATGTTCAGATCAATCATATGCCACAAAAACATCTCAGACTGAAACATCATTGTGTTTGGAACCAGGATAATTCATTCTATGTTGCTTTAAAAAAAAGTACCATGAACTTTACTATCTTAATTTCTGTATATTCATACATGGGCATATCTATACATGTAATATAAATATAAACCAGAAACTTACATCCACACAAAAACATGCACACGGATGTTTATAGAAGTTCTATTTCTAAGGGCCAAAATTTGCAAGCAACCAAGATGTCCTTCAGTGATGAGTGAATAAATAAACTGTGGTGTATACATATAATGGAATATTTTTCAGCATTAAAAAAAGAGCTATCAAACCATGAAAAGATATGGAGGAAACTTAAATATATATTACAAACTGAAAGGAGCCAGTCTGAAAAGGCTATATATTGTATGATTCTAATTATATCACATTCTCAAAAAAGTACAACTATAAAGACAGTAAAAATATCAGTGCTTGCCAGGAGTTAGGAAGGATGAACAGGGAAAGCACAGTGGATTTTAGGTAGTGAAACATTCTATAAGATACTATAGTGGTGGACACTTGTCATTGTATATTTGTCAAAACCCACAGAATGTACAATACCAATAGTGAACTCTAATGTAAACTATGGACTTGGGTAATATCATGCCAATGTAGCTTCATTGATTGCAACAAATTACCACTCTCCCGTGGGGTGTTGACAGTGGGGGAGACTGTGCATATGCGGTGGCAGGGAGTATATGGGAGCTCTCTGTAGCTTCCATTCAATTTTGCTGAGAACCTAAAATTACTCCCAAAAGTAATGTTTTAAAAAAATATAAATCAAATCTGAAAAAAAATTTAAATGGCTATTTTTAGATGTTTACTAATATTTTTAAGTACACTCAATGTGACTTGATGCCACACATATTTAATTCTTTACTTGTTTTTTTTTTCACTTGCAGTCAGATGAGAGTCTTAAAACTTATGACCAGTCAAGACAAATGCTATCGAGGTTGAATTCACCTTCTAAAACTAGAGAAACAAAGTCATCTTATGCACAAGCTACACTAAGACAAGCCCAGACCCAGACTATCAAGTCATCAAACCAGTTTTCACTTCCTGGGACTCAACCCAGGAAATTGTCTCTATCTGTTTTACCAAATCCATCTGTGGCATCTGAATTTAAAAAATCTTCAACTTCCAAGTCTACATCCAAGCTCTCATTACCTTCCCAAGATGCAGCAAAGAGGTCTGCCTCTACCAAAAAGCAATGTTTAGCTAACAACATTGCACAAAAACAGCCTCAGTCAAAATCAACCTCAGAAAAACAGAACTTAATCCACAAATCTGCATGCAAACTGACCTTAGATGACA